TTTGCAATTTAAGAGCCCATCGTACGAGTCCGGATGATAACTTCTTACTCAAAATTTCTGTACAACAGAAAGTTTCTCTCTGAGCAGTGGTATAATTTCTTAGAGTTGGATTAAGTGTTTTGTTTTACTAGAATAAGCAGCCAGCTGTCTGTCTTGTAAAAGCACGGCCCGTGCCGCAAAATCTGACGAATCTGCGGAGATTTCTAATTTATCGTGCGCTTCAGGAAATTTCAAGACATATTAATGTCGATTTACGTCTTTTAAACGCCGTGTTTCTTTCTGCTGAAAAAGTGAATCTAGATATTTTTCTTTTTAAATTTAATACAGAATTATAACTATATGAGCAAAACATTTGATGAATGACCTATAACAGCAGCACAAGCCAAAAAATGAGACCAACCTCTTTGCTATATTGAGCGACGAATAATATTTTATCGCCACGATTTTATAGCATTTGGTTTTGATTCACATTTGAGATATCTTGTAGCCCAGGCAACGAAGCTCTTTGGCTGCGAATTTATATTTAACCTCATTCAGTCTTAAACTTTCTTCTTTTAGAAGCGAACATATTTCGTGAAAATCTAGACTATGTCCATCAGGTGTATCGCTATTGACTATTATATCGTATAAGTAAATAAACGTAAGACTCTTTGGAAGGTACGTATGCTCTGCTTGGGCCAAACGGTATTCTAGGAAAAGCATGAACTCCTGGTTTGAAAATAAATGGGGTTTTAGGCACATCCTCTGGTTTCACACATATCGGAAATTCATTATATTATTACACTCATTACATTATTGAGACTTTTGAAGTGAAACTTTAGTCTGGAAAAGAGAAAAGGGGAGTCTTCTAGTTTCAAATCTAGTAATTAAGATGCGGATAAAAGTTCTGGCATATTTGTTGTCAAAAATTTCTCTGTGAGAATGGAATTTTGTGAGCACGTGCAACAGTCAATTATATTTCGTTTAGCTGAAAGCATTGAGTTATGTTCAGAAAAGTGTGCATTATATCTTGATAAAAATATATGATGTGTACACCACATGACTTCCTTGTACGGAATATTAAATTCTACGCATTTTTTCTTGCATTTCATTTAAATTTATTGGATTGAATTAAATCTACTTCGCCGACAGCGCATAAATACAATAGAATAAATGCATTCTTTAAAATTCACTCTAGTATTTGTTTACCATAACGACACTCTGGCGCTAGATTCACTTAACAGTAATATATTTCGTTCATATTACAACTCATAATGCACAAAATTTATATCATTTAAAAAATAGAATTATCTAACCGTTGCCACATGTTCTATTCAAATACTATAATAAAGCTAGAATGATGTATAAAAGAAATTAAGCAAACAAAACAAAAAAGGAACAGTTTTTCACAGACGATTGAGTATTTCTCATTCAATTAATTCAGTTTTCACTTCGCGAGAAGGCAAAAATACATAAAAACTCAAAATATCTATGTTACAAAATTACGAAGTAAATCTTAAACACTTATTTCCTCGAAAAAATTCCAGAAAGGATTAAGCATGATTTAATTGGCAATAATAAATGAAGGCGTTATCTTTGTTGTTGCGAAGCTAAGTTTCTCTAGATTGGCAACAAATCCACTAGTCTGCTGTTTCAAATGTAAACAGTCAATGGCCGCCATAAAAAAAAGGCTTAGCGGCAATTAAAAAACTTTAAAATTGTTGAAAAGTCTAAAAATATTGCATACAGATTTACTAAACGCATAAAAACTTTAACCGGAAGATAAAAACAACATAATTCAATCATTTTCAAAGCAAAAAATGTACAATTTACAAACATATAAGAGTAAAGAAACTGAGATCACCGAGCCGGGTAACAGAGTGGATATATATATAAATATATTTGTATACGTTTGGCGCGGCCGATTGCAAGCAAAATACGAGGTGCACCAATACATGTTATAGTAGTCCTACATACAAAATTTCAACGTTCTGAGGCTACTCGTTTTTGAGTTATGTGAGATACGTACGTACGTACGTATATACGTTCGTACAGACGCCACGAAAAATTTTCTTCAGAATTCATTTTAAAGCAGTTTTATAATTTTTTTGGAGGAAAAGAGTCTTTTATTCTGTCCTTACGTACAGATATCACGCAAATACATCGTTAAATTGCATTCAAAAACGGTCAAAATGGATATTTTTGCTGAAATATGCTGCCTGAAACCTTTCGCGATTACAATACTTCCTTTTTACTTCGTACAAGGAAGTAAAAATGGAGTCACCTTTTTTCACTCAGGATCAGTTCCTTGTGTGTTACCACTCGCCAATCAAACAATGTTCACTGGCATGATGTTTACTCCTTAATTTGTAAATTAAAGTATCTACGGTCGTCATGAATCCTACTCGGAGTAAACAGACGACAACCATGTTATTTCAGAATCAAGAGAAGAGCACAATATTTCATTTCCAGTTAAACGTTCCTTGCAAAAAATGAGAATTGATATCTGTGTTTTAGATCAGTTTATTTGCTTAGTTTCCGAATCAGTGATTGTTGAATCAAAGGCTACCGAATCAATGACTCACTGGATCATAACAAGAAATAAGTGCTTAGAAAATTCTGGTTGTAATTAGATGACATTTTAGAAAAAGCAAGCCGAGTTGTCATAGTAATAAATATTGTCAACTATATTGTCAACTTGCCAGGCTTGAAAACTTTATTAGAAGTGTAATCCATATACTTGCACTTTGAATCATGTCGATAATAGGCTCAACTGCGAATCATGTCGATGAAAAGCTAAGCGTACTCGAAAAATACTACTTTTTAAAAACTATGCCTCAACTGCGATTTGAGCTTGAGATTTTTCTGAAGATTTACGTTAAGTTGCTTTTATTTTCTAACCTATATTAATCAATAGTTATGCTATGAAATTGATTTTTTTCCTGTAGCGCCGAGGGAATGTGAATTGGCCAGATAAATGTTTCCAAATTTCAAATTCCCAAATTTCTTTCATATTAGTGTTTTCTCGATCAATTACAAAGCTACAATATTTTAAAAAGCAAATTTGAGCTCAACTGTGTCTAAAATACCTAATTTCGAAGTTAAAATCGTAAGCAATGTTTTAAGAGCTTCCGATTATAACTTTGATGACATATTTATTATGAAAGTGTTTCCTTTTATATTTTTTACTCAGATGTTATTTTATATTTCATGTAAAAACTAATGCTTTATTATATTTAAAATAATATTCTATAATTATAAAAGAACAACAGTTTGAGAAAAAATACAGCGAAAACGTTTATATTCGTAAAACATAATTTCTATAAGTAGTTGTTCAGATTTCTATTTTACTTCAAGCACTAAATAACAAACTTTGTGTTTTCAATCTGAGCAAGTGTGTATACATATCTTTATGTAAATATATGCATATAATGACAAATTATATATCAATATTCGTCCTCCTTGCATATTTGCATAATCTTTTTAATTATAAGAGTTCGCCCACTATTAATTTTTTTAACTAATTTACTTTGTCCTATTGCAGATTTATGTACGTTTAAGATGAAATATGTATTAAAACTTATTGTTCGTGTTTTGGTTTTGTTTTCTCGTATATATATATATATATATGTATCAAGTAAACAAAACTAATTATATTAAATTATTAAATTTTATATACATCTACTGTAAAACAAGTTTACACGGCAAAAATAATAAAGCAAAACTTTTCAATTGTAAAATGTAAAATAGAAGAAAGGAAGTGAATTAAATACTTTATTGTCTATTATACGATAATTACGGTAATCAGAGTTTCTAGTGCTATTATGTCGGCTTCTGTACTTTCCACGTTCTATTAGTAACAGTTGTCTTCCTTCCAAAACTGAAAGGCGGTGAAGCTAAAAGGCAATTTAATTCAATTTTGTTATCATTTATTTTGTTCCTATTTTTAAAGACATATATATATAATATATATATATATATTATACGCAAATGGTCGAGAATAAAGAGGTTTTAGTTTTTATATAATTGTTTCGTTCATTAAATTGTCATATACTTCACACTGCGTCTAGAACTGGTCTAACTTGTATCTGATCGAGCAATCATCATATTATCAGAATTATAGGTATAGTAAAATTTTTAACAACAAGAACAAGATATTTTTTGGTCATTAAAATAATTTTTATACTCTAATGTATACCTACTATGGTAAAAAATTCTCTATTTTTGGATAAAACTTTATTTTACAAAATGTAACCGTATAATTTATGTGTAAGTAAGACTGTAAGGAAAATATAGTAAGAATCCAGTTACTTTCGCTTTCCAGTTTTGTTATGAACAACACTCCTAAATGGGAAGTTCTATCATGCTTGAATTCGGAGCCCGGATATTTTAAAGGTTTTCCCTATGTATAACAAACATGAGGTGTTTTCCTTAACCCATTTTATTCCAATTTATTTATTTTGTTCAAATTTGAAAAGAATGATATTTTCTAAGGTTAATTAAAGGTAAAAAATCTAAATATAACAAAATTAGAAAAATTTTTATATTTTATATAAGAAATCTGGCCCGTCCTCTAAATAGGACACTGGGATAAAGGGGATAGAATTTGCACTTACATGTTTTTAGTGTTCTATTCAATGCAGAAAAGTGATTTCCGTGTACAAATTTTACTTTATTCGACTAATACTTCCTTATTTACAAGATAGTTCACTTTTCAGATGAATTTCACTCTAATCTTGGTGGAAAGGTCCAAAGCCAGCCTGACAAAGTGTTTTGTCACATTTGCCAAAGTATATTTTAGGTTTTTCTTTGTAGCCGCTGTTTTTTTCGCTTTAGTAAAAAATGACCAACACTATCTTTACGGATGTCTTCTTTTGCATCAGAAGGTACAGTCCAGATCCTAGGTCTACCTTTTGTTATTATCACAGTTTCTTTTAGATAAACTGTTGTTACAGCTCTTCGGAACTCCTTCAAGTTTAGAGCTTCATTTTTATTCAGAGGTTTTTGAATTATCCAGGCATTTACGATAGCCATATCCAGCGAACGTATAAAAAGTGACCAGTACCACTTTTTCCACGAATTTTAATGGAATAAAGTTCAGCCAACCAGTCGTGGTGATCCACACCGCCCATACGTTTGTTGTAAGAATTAATCAAATTTGGCATCTTTACGTTAACTTTATCTTTGTGTCCTCTTACTCGCCTTTTCAGATCAAAGAATGGTTGTAAAGTGCTGAAATTTGTAGCAACAGTGACAGTACTATTTTCATTCCATCTCACCAGGAAAATCTCAGATTTCTCGTCAACTGCAAAATCAGATGTGCCTCTTTCTTTCTTCCGCATAGACTTAGATTCTTCTAAAGGAAACTCGTGATTTATCCGATTTTCTCGTATGGTTACTGTAGCTCGAAAACTCTGTTCAGCAAGACTTTTCAAAAGATAAGTGCTAGTAAAAAGGTTATCAAAATATAAAGTGTAGCTTGAAGGATTCATAATATTCTGTGTTAGTTTCATCACAAACCGAGTATCAAGAGAAGTATCATTTCTCGCATCAGATTCTTTCCCGCATCTGAACAGTAGTCACGTTCGCAAGTATTTGAATAATGAACAGTTAGAAACAAAATTCCGATAAAAACACGTATTTCGTTGGCAGTGGTCAAGAAATCGTGTTCGTGTTTTACATCTGTTGCATAACGCACAGTTTCTTTTACAATGAGATCGCAGACTTCACTGAAATAAAACTGCTCAAAAAGCTCTGATGGAGTTTTATCTTTCAATGCAGTTTCCATCTGCTTCAACAAGTCACTTGCAATTGATTCATTCTGTGTTTTCCATTTTGTATATTGTGGTGATTTATTCTTTATCCAAGATGACTGGTGTCTTTTAGCTTTTTTTCTACTCTTAGGAAACACTAGAGCTTGTGGACGGTTCAAGCTGGATCTTCAGTTATAACCTACAGAGACCCAGGAACATCAGTTACAATAATATCACCAGTATTTACTTCATTCTCTTCCCCTTCATCTTCGTCAGTTAGTTCACTGGCATCTGGTGGTAACACAGCAATTTCAACTTCGCTCTCATCTGAATCAAAACTATTGAATAGTTCTAATGCTTCCTCTAACTTCAGAAACCTTTGCACTGACATAACTCAGCAGGGGTGAAACACTAGAATTTTTTTTTACTCTTATTTATAAAGAGGGAAAGAACGTGTCAATTGCACACTTATTGTCCCATTGTCCTATTTAGAGGATTCTTCATATCATCGGAATCTTAAGTTTTAATGCTAAAATGACTCCAAAAATACGCTGGGCACGGTAAGAGGTATCAATTGCAACGTTCTACTTCACGTATTATGGGCAACTTTAGCTAAATGAGTGATTACTGAAATGTTTTCCAAACGCTACTGTTTATGTAAATTTATGAATCACTAACGAATTTTCTGCAAATATCGCCAAAGGAATACGTTGTGAAAATATATGAGTTATATGAACCTTGTAAGTGAACACATACATATTGTCATAAATATTATGTTTTACATGCAGAGCTAATTTTAAGAAATAATTACCAATAAACTTCAATATGCAATATTCAGCAAATTTCCTGATACCTCAATAATAGAAATTGTATTAAAGTGCATTTTATAATAATTATTTACTACTTGTGGGGGACACTGAAGAATGCAAAACGGTCTGAGTAACTTTAAAGCAAATGTTTGCAAAGGGAATATCATTATTCAATTATAAATAGACTAAAGTAGCCTCCTATTATGCTTATTTGATAATAATTGAATCATTTGAGTAGAAACCTAGGAACAATATCTATATAAATTCCTCGTACATTCAGCAATTTACGTTTAATGTACTGTACGTGTTATATGTACAAATATTATTATAGAATCATTAGGCGTTTTGACGCAGGAAACATAAAAAATGAGAAACGCCCTCACCGGCTCTCGAATACACGTCGAGTGTGCTACCGTTACACCACCAAGGCATGCAGAAAGGAGGGAGAAAATACCGTATAATATAAGTGTTTAACAGTATTTAGTAAATATAAATTACATTTACGTGATTTTATTTTAAATATGATGAAAATTAATATCTGAATTATATTTCGATTAATAAATCAGTTTTTTGTTTCGTTTTCCCCGAAGTGATTTGTTCAATACTTTTATTCTTATGTTTATACAAAAAGCACGACAGACTTGATTAATGCATGATTTTATGTAATATAAGACTTTTAAATTGCGACGATGTGTACAATAATGTTATTTCAATAAGAATGATATGATTTTAAAACAAAATGGCAAACATGTTTAAAATGTTATCACTGTCACTAATTTTGATTTGTGGTAAGAATGTTCAAGAAATTCATGATGGCTAAATACATATTTAATTCAGAACTTTAATTTTAAACGAAACATTATCGTCTCAGGTAAAGCTCATTGCTGCTTTATTGGATATATTAAAAACAAAACTGCAGTTTTCGTTGTGAAATTGAACCGTAAGAGATGCACAAGAAGGAAGAATTCACAAAAGTTCACAGTTTGCTGTGATGAAGAACATAGTATCATCATCTAACCATTTTTTATCGAAACGTGGGAGAAGGTGCATTTATAATGACTTTACCGACAGAGAAACATAAGCAGTTAAAAATATTCTGCAATATTGCAATATTAAAGTATTGGTGCCCAGTACAATTATATATATATATATATATAGAGAGAGAGAGAGAGAGAGAGAGAGCAGAATGATAGAATTATAATATTAGTACAATATTTTGATAGACTATTATAGTCCAATAAAATGCACTTTACAGATCTGTTGTACGAATATTAACACTGTTATACAAAATTTACATTGGAAATATAAGTTCAAACAGTACTTGAAAAGACATCTAGTTGTTGATACAAGGTGCCGTTTCAAGTACTGTTTGAAACTTTTGAGGAATATCGGGAGTAAAAAATTATTTAAGGCCTATTTTGAGGCATGTGGTTCCAAAGAAAACGGTGCTAAATGTTACACTAAGCCAATATCGACATATTGTAATAAGTAAATAAAACCCGTAAAACGATAACTTTACGATTTATGTTAGCTGGCCTTCCAGAAGTTGCAGTTTTTCTTGTGTGTTTAGTTTAAATCAGCCATACTCAACCTTTTTCGTCCGCGGGCCACATTCTCAGAAGAGCTATTTGAAGTGGGCCGCAACATTATCACAGGCCAAGATAACAATGCGAAATAACCACACCCATTTGTTTTATCATGAAAATGTATTTTAATACATAATTGTTAGAGAAGTGTATGTTTCTGACAGCTTAGATTTTGAAATATGGCCGAACGTATTGTTAATTAAAATTTTCTCAGTTTTTGTTAAAAAAATTTTCACTTCATTTCAGTTTAATAAATTACGACAAGTAATAGAATTAAAATAAAAAAGAAACGCAATTTACATAATTAATGTATTTATTACACAAAGAGTAATGAGATCATTGAAATTGCGTACACTTTTTAACAATATTTTCTATATCAGGCTTACAGTTACTGCAAGCTACTCGTAAGACATCATCCAAATGATAATTAGTGAGCCGGTTTCTGTACACATTTTTTGCATACTTCATTTTAGAGTATGACGACTCACAAAGATAAGTTGATGCGAAAAATGTGAGAAAAATGTGAGCACATTTTTGGACAGTTTTGTATTGTCCAGGCACAGTTTTCCAAAAATCGGCCATTTCCGCCCTCTTTTCTTTAAATAAAGCTTCCAAATGTGTGTTGTTCTTGAACTCTATAAATTCGTCAAACAGCTGTACGTAACAACATCCCAATATGCCTGCCAATTCTGATATGACTGTTGGATCTAAGTGCCAAGGATTTTCGAGAAGTAACAGCATGCTTTTAATTTTCATTAGATCACTGAATCTTTTTTAAAATTATAATAATAATGCCATTAAGTAATTTGAAATCTTCATACAGTTATCTGAAGAAATATTAATACATTCCTTTTTAGCTTTAGTCATTATTGGAAAAGTTTGCAGTATTTGGTTCTGAATCTCTTCTTTATACACATTAAGCTTCTCTTCGAATGCAAATATTTTATTTGCCATCTGTGAAATTATTTTATTGTCACCTTGTAAATCCAAATTGAGCGAGTTAAGTTTATCTGTAATGTCAGACAGATAAGCCAACGAACTGAAGTATGTAAAACATCGCTGTTTTGACTGCCCACCTCCTCCAAAAGGCTTTTGAACGTTCTGTGGATCAGTTCTCCTGTTCGGATGTAATTCACTGTACTTGCGACATTTTTCATCACAGAGTCTATTTCAGGATATTTAATGCGCGCAGCCAAATTTTCCTGGTGAATAATGCAATGAAATTTTATTGGATTTGTTAAACCATATTTCTTTTTTAACAGAAAAATAAAACCATTTTCCGAGCCTGTCATTGAAGGACAGCCACCGGTGCACACAGAAACTAATTTTCTTATATCTATATTGTTCTGCTCAAAGAAATCGCAAATAATATCATAGAGCCTCTGGTTTGGCCCTTCATTGGGAGAAATTTTAAAAATCTTCTTGAACTGAAGTTGTCTTCAGTACAATATCTAACAAAAGAATACTGTGATGTTGCTGAAATGTCAGTGCTGGTATCAAGAGCTACGCTAAAGAACTTGCAGTTTTTTAAGTCTTGAACTATGCGATCGCGAATATAGTGTACTGTGTATGTCTTCAATACGTCTAACGCAGGTTGAATCTGAGAGCTGGAGGTTTTTAATTTCTCCAATTACTTAATTTTTTTGTTCAATTTATCAAATAATACACTGGAAGCAGTTAAAAAAAACTCCTTTATTATTTCTGCATTAGTAAATGGTTTCATATTCTTACCAAGTATATAAAAATTTCATATGATGCCTTTGTTACCGTTGGATCTTGTGACCTCACCGCCGACATAACGTTTTGTTGTTGCACCAAGGAACTTTTCAAAGCTGTCAGTTTCTCCTGTCTTACGATGGATCCTCGAGGAAAATTTTCACTAAACGATCCGTGTTTTGTTGTAAAATGGCGATCAATATTATATTCCTTTAATATAACACTTTCACGGCAAATTAAACAAGTTGCTGACTCATGTTTATTTTGCATTACAAAATACTCAATTTCTCACTGATCTTGAAACAGTCTTCTTTCATCGGATATTTTTTGTTTTTTAGAAGCCCCTCCTGACATGGTGAATAACTATTTTCTTAGTCTTCACCCTCACTACAGACACAGAAATACAGCACCCTGCACGACACAAGCAAAACAAACGTACTGACTTGTCTGCGATTTAAACTTTAAATTAATGGTCTATACAAACATATCACAAATCATTGAAGCATTAAGAATAAAAATAGAACGCTGCATTCTCGATATTAGGCCTGAGTTATTACGTACAGTTATCGAAAATGTTATTCATCGATTTCGCTCGTATGCACTATATCATGCTGGGCACTTAATTGAGCCTTTATTCAAAACGTAATGTTCTAAACCATACTTCAAAATAATAGAAACAAATTTTTGTATTAGAAATAGCTTGTTGTTTTATTTCATTTTTAAAATCATATCGTTCTTATCAGAACGACCTTTGTGCAAAATGTAGTTTTCTTCTTGGCATTCGCTTTAAATAAGAAATAATGTTTTTGTGTATCTAACGAAAAATATAAATTACTTTTTGCATTTAAATGAGCTTGTTTTTGTTTCTTTCTTCTTTTCCGATATTTTATTACTTATTTTAAAGCAACTAAACTAAAATGTACTTTTAATAGAATATTTATGGCTATTGTAAATCAGATGCAGTATAAAATGTTATTATACCTTTCGCTTTTATTTAAAAAAAAACTAGTTTACGAATGGATGAAATCTTCAAAATGTTTACATTCGAACTCGGGTAGAGAGTAAGTAAAATATTTCCCTTTAAAGTTCAAATATTTCGCTTCGCGAGAAGTAGCATTTGTATACGATTTCCGAATGCTTTCGTAAACATAAGCTTTTTTTTGGCAAATGGGATTTTAAAATCCTAAAAATGTAAGAATTTAGTTATTTAGTTACTTTTACATCATAGAAAATGTGAAGTAAAAATTAGAAATATTAAAAGACATGATTTCCTTTTGTACTATTAGCATCATTCTAAAAGTGAAAAATAAGTTTTATAGAATAACTTCAAATATAAAGTGAGAGGTGTTTTTTCTAGCAATAGAATATGATATACCCGATCTTTGATGATTTTCAGAAATAAAGCATATTCATTAAAAATGTCGCTAAACAACAACAAACTGTTGAAAAATGCAAAACATATTTATGGAAATTATATACAATTGCTGAAATTTAGATTAGTTAAACAATGAAGTGAAAATAAATACTTTGCAGAAAGTTTTAGAACTTGGAATATTAGAAAAGGGAACGAAGATGCTTTCTTTGTAAAATCGTTATATTTCGTTATGAAACTGAGTGAGGAGAAATGCCTCTTGTCTTTTTTACTTCACAGAGCATTGATGTAATACAGCCAGAGTACAGTTTTCAGTAATTCAAGGTATTTTTGAGAGTTGTAATTGATGAGTTCGCTACATGCATGGGAGGTCAATAAACGTGAAGAAATTATAACAACAGTCTCCCCGAAGTTTCCCATTGACAGCTTTTACAAAATCATTTTTCGTGATAGGTGGTTTCTGATACTGTGCTCTTCATAGCCAACACTATTATTAAATAAACTCTGCTATTCATTTTCTGATCATTCAATTAGGTATGGGATATTGTATAGAAATTTTACAACTTTGTTCTGAACACTATATGCTAGCAACATGTTTTTCTTAACATACAGTAAAGGATTTTTGCAAATTTGGTGATACATTCAATTTTCTAAGACATTTAAAAGTAAAAGTGCAGACATTTAAAATTAAAATTGCTTGACTGCTGCCAAAAGTAATATTCACTTCAATTCCCAAAAGTATTAAAGAATATTGTGAATGAATGTCATTGCAATCTGTTTAAAGAAAAACATTTCAAATGCCGTTAAGAAATTTAATTTCTGAATATATTTTACTTCATAATCAAATAGAATCTTATACTGTTTCAAAAAACATCATTTTGCTCTAATCAAGCTAATTGGAAGTAAAGAAAGGTTCTAATCTTGAAGATTTAACAAAGAATCATACTGAGAATATCCGTAAGATCTTCACATTAATAGCATAATGATTTCATAGATTAGATCCTTCTGCAATTCTATAGAATGCTCGAGTAATTGCGAACTGGCAGCATTCTTACCAAAGAAATTTTTAAAAAGCTTGTTGTTGTCTAAGATGCTATTAATTAACAATTAAATGTTTATTATTAGCCTTAAAAGACAAATATTTATTATTCATAGGCAATGCATTAATATGTAATGGTTTTAAAATAAGCAAGTAAGAGTGAAGTTGAACCTATATCATAAAGAAAGAATATTATATATCTGAAAAGGAAAGTCTTCCGTAACAGATATATTCTGTGCTGTGGATAATGAACTTGTGATTACAAATGCGAAGTTTGCTTTAAAAACACTGTAAACATCGTGCAGGATAATTACAAATTTACAGTATAATACTATGCAATATTTACCATGTTTACTCGCTTAATAGTCGCGCTGGCGCAATAGTCTCTCCCCGCATTTTGAAGCAGAAAAAATCATCAAAAGTGTACAATAGGAGTATTGTGTAGTAGTAGTCGCATAATAGTCGAACCTAAATTTTCACAATGAAAATATGGGTGAAAAAAGTGCTACTATTATGCAAGTAAACACGGTACTCTATTTGCTACCTCTTCGAATTTAGAAATGCTGTTGTCTCGTTTGGCAGTAACATGCATTTTCTACATCAAACAAATTAAACGTTCTGAGAGATCGTAATGGAAAATTACCCCAGGCAATTCAGACAGTTCTTTTGCAAAGTAGCTGTCGAATTAATGTCTTTAAATATTGATCGTAGATCTGTATATCCATTGCAAGTTTTCTCGTAATAAGGTATTAAATGTCATGGTAATCGGTTCATTACTAGGTAGGTGAGCCTGTAAAAAATCTAAGTTACGTGACTTTGAATAGAAAATATTTTGAAATACTAATTTTGTTCATACCACAGGTTCTGGAATTTTATGTTCATCATTCACATAATTTAAAACGTTATTAAAATCAGAATTTTGGAACTATAATTTTAAACAAAACTAAATTCCCTAACTTCTGAAAACAAAATCTACAGCAGAAAATACTTGATAATTACATCCAAGAAACCAGATACATATAAGGCCACAAATACTGTTTTATCCTAGATGGAAACAATTATTTGGCAGCTTTGCCTTTATACCTTTTCTTCAAATTCTTTTGCAAATGTCTTGAATTACGAAGGTAAAATGTATTCAAAATGATCTAATAGTCAATTTATAGTTTTTATATACCTTCGAAATATTTGAAAGCAAAGGTAGCGATCGTTTAATTTTAGTTTATGGATATTTTACAAAAGGAATCTTTTGCTTCTGGGCACCATTTAATACAAAAAGGCTATTCAGATTTCAGATTTAAAGTTAGCAGATTCGGTTCGGTTCTGTTATTTGAATAGGACGAAGTCATGAGGGTTGTCTAACTAAAAGGATGGATGCTTTCCTGGAGAACGTTCTGACAGAAACTGATTCGTAATCATATTACACATTGGAAAACCATAACAATCAACCATGCAGCCAGCTCGTCCGCCTGGGATCGAATCCAAACCAGGTCGACTCACCAATATTCATAGATCTTAACAACTCTACCACTCTTGGGGCTTAAATTTAGTAGAGCTAGTTTGCGGGGATCTGCTCCGCTTCTAATTCAAAAGTAGTTTTCTTTTCGAGAAATTTTGTATTTGAAATATATTTTTAAAATCAATATTTAATGCAATGAAATTTGTACCCCTCATTTCTGGATATCCAATGTAATTTTCTTTTAAACATCCAACTAGGTTTTTCTTAATATGATAGTTGTATAGTCTTAGTATCATAGCTGCATGTTTCAATCTTTGCAGGTGATTTGTTAGGTATTTGCACCAATGATCATCTGTCGATAGCCAGAGAAGAAAGAGAAGGCAGCAGCTGGTGGAATAGCAATGTTCTCGAAATTCAAGCCAGGCCAACCCTCGGATACTAATCCAATCACCCAGTACTACGAAATCGGGAGACAGATCGGGAGTGCCGGTCCAGAGTTAGTGTGGAAGATATACGAAGCTGTTCGAAAATCTGATAAGAGGGTAAGTAGTGCCGCAACTATAATCACATGTATCGTGAACAACTGAACGTTATGTGAAGTACTGTTTCGCAGTAGAAAGTCATGGAACAAATGAGTACACAAATTAAAAAGAAATTAACGAACTGGTTCTGCTGCTTATGATTAAGTTAATATATGAAAACTAGAGAAAACTACAAATGATTTGAAAAATAATGTCAAAAGTTTATGGTTAAATTATATCTATACAATATTGCTTGATCTGTGTATGGCATTAATTTTACTGAGTTACACAGGATAAAGGATCTGAATTATGAGTAAATGTCAAAGTGTTGTACTGTGCTATTACATAATTCATAAAATTTCATGCAAAGCTAGAATTTAATGCTAAACCTACAGATGCTGGTTTTGTGTACTATCTTTGGTTAACTAAGCACTATTTACTAAATAACAGTATTTCATTTAAAATATGATATTTGAATTATAGCCTGTTTCATCTAGCTTTGTTATTCAAATTAATACTATGTAAAATGTACACCATCTTAAAATACTGGATAATTACATCCAAGAGACCAGATATATATAAAGCCACAAATACTGTTTTATTAAAAAGTAAGAGTCAACATCTTTAATATTAACCTAGTACTTATTATTTTCTCATGATTTAAATGTATGAGTATACTTTAACTGCCATTGGTTTTCAAAAAGAACAAACAATTGCAAATATGGCTTTTAATGTAAACCGGTAAACCAGTGTGTCATTGTAAAAGCTTTGAGCTGCAAATCTTCAAAGCATAAGATATTTACGTTTCATATCTGATCAGAAGACTCCGTGACATAAAAAAAGTTTCTTTCCACTTGCACTATATTTTCTTTTCGAATTTGATAAATAAAATCAGAGATATCAAAAAAATATTTTGCCGGGCTAAATCAGAGATATTTAGATATCCTTCCGTGCAACAGTGGTTTGTCATTCAGCAAAGAAATACTATTTAATTGTTCTTGATTAACAAACAAAGCAATCTAAAAGCGATAATGCAGATTCATTTCAATTATTATTCTAACTGGATCCATGATATGAGACTAGCTGGAGTAATTAAAATCCCCTGCAAGTATGAAAAAGAGTGTCTGTTCCTGTGCGTATAATTCACACAAATCTACAGTTTTATTCCGATCCTGATGAAATTTTGCTTCTTTAACCTTCAAAATAAGAGGAAGGTCACTGTCTACATAAGATTTCCAAAAGCGACCCTACAGTTTCCACATTCAGGGTATTATTTATATTAAAGCGGTAGGCTTACGGCACTCTAAAGTTCACATTAGTCTTGTTGCGTTTTCTTGGCTAAAGTAATAGACAGTAAAATAAAATTGTTTCCTCATTTTATAGAGATTCAATTTCTATCAATTCGAAATGTATACATTTAATAGGGAACCTTTCTAATTTTATACCTTTTATTTCTTTTCCACCCAAACTTAGGTTTCATGACACTATATGGGCACATACTTATGCTTATAACTATAAACCTGTATCAAATGGGATTTTTATAACTTCTTTTCATTTTTATGTGATACTTTTATGATTCAATGCACAACTGGTCTTTGTTTATAGCAACACTTTTGTTGCTATAATAAAGATGCATATGCACTGAATTCGTTCGTTTGAATAAGTTATACGTTAGGGTTTTGCTTATGCTTAATTTCTTGGAAATTCTAAAAACTAAAGATTAAAAAAAAAAAATGCTAAAATGGATTTCTGTAGAAAGATATATTTTAAATTCTTTGTAAAAGCTATTTTTATTACCAGCATCTTTCATTATAAGTGGAGTGGTTAAGATCACGAATAGCAATAGAGTCAGCCTTTAGTTAACCGGAAATATGTCCACGATTGCCTCCAAATGACGGATAATCCGAAAAGAGTTAGAATTTGAATGCGAAGGACAACCCATATTACAATTAAAAGAAAATATTATTTACAGCTTACTTATATTTTATACCAGTTTTACCAGGGGAATAAGTTCATTTTGGTGCGTTAATACTATTAAATGAATATTAAAAATAACCCATGTTAACTTCCTTTTGTAGTTTAATTAATCACTCATAAAATGGTTGTAAAAGACAAGCATTATTTAGAGATAAATCTTAATAACCTACACGTAACGTATTCGTAAACGTACATAACATAACAAGCGTACTTACTGCATCGTACCATTAAACATTTCAAGCGTACATCATCTCAATGTATATTTTTTAAAATTATAAATAGAACGACATCAGGAAATTAGCTGTTGCCATTTTCTCAATAGATATTTTGTCTAATAACAATTAAATAATTTACAATCGTTCTTACACCCAATAAAAATAACACGAAAGAATCAACATCGTTAGAAATAAAGAAGCTCAGTTATGAAAAGTAGTTAAGGGCAACACGAGAGTTAAAAAAAAACTTAACTTCAGACCCAAGTAAAATAGTCAGTAAGTAATTTTGCTTTTGACAAGAGATCTCTTGGAAGAAATAATCTCCTTTAACTGAGGTTAAACTCTCCTCCTACACATATATTATTTGAGGTTTTGCACTAATTCGTAGGTAGTTCCACTGATAATGTCCCGCAGATAGTTGTTAGCAATTTTTGCATGTTCTGCAGCTAATCTGAACATTGAAGGTCTGTTAAGGTTTTCATCATTCCCTAATAAACAAATTTTGAGGTTTTAGGCATGGCTTAATAGGAATTTGATTGTAATTCGTCTCAAACTACTTGTTTGTGGTTGAACGAAATAACAGCATGAGGATTTCGTATTTTTTTCTTATGTGGAACATGAATGCGAGTGTGGGTTCCTTTGGAACAGCCTCCAGGCTAATGTTTGATCTGTGCCATACCTTAAATACTCTATGCAGAAAATTACAAGGAAGGAATAAAGCTAATTTCTGTGAATTAATTGTCAGAAAAGATAAAATACGCTATTACGGAATTCCTGACTCCTAAACTTACAGTATTATAACTTTCAGAGACATAAGGTTCATTGGAAAAGCCAGAGAGATAAAAGATTAGCAACCACCTTCACCGGGAATCGAACCAAGGACCTCTGGAATACCGGCCCAGCCTGCAGAACCACTACACCACGAAGGCACGTTAGGAAGGCGGGAGAAATACTTTATATATTCATCTAAGTATTATAAAATTCCAAATACCTGTGTTGCACTTTTCTATAAGGTAAATACATTTTTACTGAAATTCAGCTGAAGGAATTTGATTTTTTACTTTTTCTAGTCTGTTAATGACATTAAAATATCTCTTTAGTTAAATGAAAGAATTAAGAAGTAAAGTACTTTATTCTATTTTCATGCCATGCACAATCATTTAAATTTATTCAGTTTATTTTTAAAACTAATATGTGTTGTATTTTTTTATTTTCTTCTGTAATTTAAATCGATAAATAAATTTATTCAGTTGCTTTCTAAAACTAATATGTGTTGTATTTCTTTATTTTCTTCTGTAATTTAAATCGATTAAAAAAAGTAAAAAATATGTAAATAAAATAACAATTAGCTTATGTTAATTAATCTAGAAAGAACAATGATTCAAATAAATGAAGTTCGTAAAATCCGCATCTCGATAATTGGAGTTCTACTGCAATTTTATCCTGTTATCAGTTTAATGAAAAAATAATACTATTTTCAACAGTGTGATTTTAACACGGTATAGAAAATTCTTACCAGTTTTTCTTAATTTTGTTTTCTCTACTTAACCGCAACTTCCTTTCGGATGTGTTTATTTGCGCACAATAAACTATGCAGGCAAAATGAACAACATCGTTTCCCTCAAATAAGAATAAAAAGAGAAGAATTATCCAAGGAATTTCTTACTTGAAAACGGCGAAATTCCTAATTTCTTCGGGGAGAAGATGATCCAAGCTTCAAAACAAATCGATAATGCGTTAAGCACTTTTTAATTAGTGCTACAGGCGCTTTCTTTGTTAACTGCCTTAATGATATAGGACTGCTCGAAAAGTGCAATTAGATGTTGCGAGACACAGTAATGAATAAAACATTGCAGGTATAATCCGTAAGAAAAACTAGCTCCGTCTTTCACAGAAGATTTTAGTGGCTATCATCGTTTTTGTGGTTGAAGAAGTATTATGCACTTATTTTTTTATTCTCCTAAGATGATGAATAAAGATTTTATATCCACAGAAGAGGCATAGATATTAAGCAAGGACAAGTGCTTTTTTTATTTATTTCGAGCTAACTAGCAAAATTCCAATTTCGCTTGGAAATTGACATTAAACGAATAAGCTTAGTGCTTTCAAGAGATTCGAATTCAGGATATGATTTTTTGCGAAAGGCATACTTAGCAGCTTATCTGTCTGGGAAGATTAAGTGTGAGCTATAAGCTGATAATTGAGTGGATATGCCCTTCCGAAATAATTACGCAGTTATGTTTCAGAAATGGTGCTTTCGTGGATAATTTAAATTTAGAAATGTTTGTGGAATTTATTTTACATTTGAGAGAAGAGCGAAAATTCTCTGCAATGCAATCCTGTGGTTTCAGCCACTGTGGATGTAAGTTGAGTCAAATGAATTAATTTACATTCTGGATTGCTGGATGGAAATAGAAAAATAAAAGTTTTGTCACATAATCATTTGTTAATCGTCCAGGTTAATATAGTCATTAGCGGAAGCAGATTGCTAATTTAAATTCCAGGGCAAGCGTTGGATTTCACGCAAAGCTTGATTGGTTATGAGTGTCTCTATATGTTTAAGATTTAAAAAAAGAGAATAATCAGATTTAAAGGTTATTTGCAGTTAAGATTATATTTATATTGCCTCTTACATATTTATTCCTGAAACAGATTAATTAATGCTAGAAATATTAGCTGAATGATACACATACAGTGCTACATCGGTATACGTTCGTTTAAAATACGTCCCATTTTGGAAATGTTCAAAAGTTTTGTTTGGAATACTACTGAGTTAGATGAGTCACGACTGCTCTCTCTGCACATGTTTACCTCTTTCAAGAAAATGCT